AAACAGGAAGAACGAGAAAATAAACAAGAAGAGAGATTACAACAGTTGTTGGAGGAGAAAGAAAAGAAACAAGAAGAGAGACTACAGCAGTGGCAAGAAAACCAGCACCAGTGGTAACTGGAGCAAAAAAGGCAACAAGAACGAGAAAAGAAACAGGAAAAAAAGTCTCCGACAGTTGAGAGAAAGCCAGCATGCACAAATGGAAAATATTTGTAAATTTCAAAGTGAATTAAATACTGGAAATACTCGGACAGTTGCCAGCAGATGACAGGCACAACAAAAGAGCACTGGTAGCTGCTCTAGAAATCAGGTATGGAACTCAAAATCAGTCTGAAGTCTACAGGGCTAGGTTTAGGACGAGAGTCCGTGCTAAAGGGAAGAGCCTGCAAGAGCTGGCACAGGATTTGGAAAGTATGGCACACAAGGCCTACCCAACTGCACCATCCGATGTCCTCAAGCTGTTGCTGAGCGATCAGTTTGTAGATGTCTTGGACAGTCCACAACTAAAGATACAAGTAAAGCAAGCACACCCCTCTACTATGCAGGATACAATGGCCAGAGCTCTTGAATTCGAGTCCTATGTTAAGTCCAGCACAGAGGTACCAAGGTTGGTACAATCAGAAAGGGGCAGCTTTCAGAGAAGTTTCAGGGACTTTGCTGGCACTTTAACAAACCTGGGTACAAGAGAGCTCAATGCCGGCAACTTCAACACAGGGAAGATGCCACAGCAGAAAAGGCTGCTACCCAGAAAGGTTGTTGGAACTGTGGAGAGCAAGGACATATGAGGAGCCAGTGTAAGAAGAATACCACCAATAAGTCAGCTTCGGGAAACCAGTAGTGGTTGGTGCTGAGGGATGCCCACCAACCCCCATTGTGAAAGTCCCAACAGCTAAGTGTAAAATGGCAAGTACACATAGTGTCTACGTGACAGGAAAGCTGGATGGCCATAAGTGCAACTTTGTCATAGATTCTGCATTTCAGCAAACCCTTGTGAGCATGAAGGTGCTGGATCACAAAGGAGTACCAGAAACCATGCAGAAGCTCTTTGGTGTGACAGGACATTATGCAAGGTTGTGGGGACCAGTGTGAGTAACTATTGAGCTCATGGGCATAAAGGACAGACACAAAGTATACTTGGCTGACATTGAAGACCCATGCATATTAGGGTTGGACTACTTACTACCGAGGAAGTGTGTAGTTAACTTCGATAAAATGACGTTTGGGAACAACGAAGGCCAAATTTCAGTAAGTGTTAAAAGAGAGGTTGAGCTAACCAGGTGTCATCAAGCTGAAGTCAAAGTGACTGAAGGAGTTGATGATGGTGGAGTGGAACCAGGTATAGATATTAAAGCAGAGCAGGAGAAAGATCAAGATTTGAAGCCAATAATTGATTTTCTAAAAGCAAGTGTTTTTCGCCCTGCTTGGAAGAAGGTGTCTAGCTTAAGCCCTATAACAAAGAGCTATTTGAAACTTGAAGATGGTATTTTTCTCCGGAGATGGGAAAGTGACGACCTGGCAAACGGTTATACCGAGAAAGTTACGAGAAGTTGTTCTACATCAATCCCATGATAGTTTAACAGGAGGACATCTCGGAGTTAAGAAGACATTGAGTCACCTACGACAGAGATTTTACTGGATATGTATGAGGCAAGATATGGAAGAATGGTGCAGGGCATGCAGTACATGTTGTGCTAAAAGAGGACCCAAGCATAAGGGACGTGCTCCAATGAAGTTATATTAAGTTGGTGCACCAATGGAAAGAGTGTCCATTGACATTGCTGGTCCTTTGCCCAAACTCGTGCTGGAAACAGGTACATTTGTGTGGTGATATTATTTCACCAAGTGGCCTGAGGCATATACAATACCAAATCAGGAAGCTACAACTATAGCTTCGGCTATTAGTTATTTCTTCTTCAGATTTGGTATGCCATACGAACTGCATTCGGATCAAGGCCGTAACTTTGAATCAGCTGTGTTCCATGAATGCTGCCAGTTGTTTGACATACGAAAGACCAGAACAACGCCACTTCACCCACAGTCTGATGGGATGGTAAAAAAGTACAATTGGACACTGGGACAGGAATTGGCAAAGTTTTGTAGTAGCCGCCGAGATGATTGGGATGTCTCACTCCCTCCATTGTTGATGGCCTATAGAACAGCAGAGCATGAAGCCACTGGATACACTCCAGCAAAGCTGATGTTTGGTTGGGAACTTCGGTTGATAGTGGATCTGTTAACAGGACGCCAACCTTACGAAGAGTTGCCTGAAAATGTGTCAGAGTTCGTGAAAGTGTTATCGGAAAGGATGGATGATATTCACCATCAAGTGCGTTCAAACTTGAAAACGTCTGCTGATTCCATGAAGCTATGTTATGATAAGAGATCTACTGAAGTTAGCTTTCTACCAAGAGACAAGGTGTGGTTGTATAATCCTAGGAAGACCAAAGGGAAGTCTCCTAAGTTGTCTTCTCCATGGGAAGGCCCATGTGACATAGTGGATCGTCTCTCAGACGTGACTTTCCTAATAAAATGTGGTCGGCGAGGTAAGCCAAAGATGGCGCATGCCAACAGGCGTTATCAGGGTCCAGGACATTTCAGTTGGGACGAAGTGAACAACGGAACAAATGACGCCGTTGAAGATGTGTCACCTGGAAAAGCCACTGTCAAAAAAGAAACTCTACCTGGTTTTGAGAAGGGAAACAGTGAAGCCCTTGATGAAGTTACTACCACTGATGTGACTATTACTGATAATAGGACATTTCCTGATGGAGCAGATGAACTTTACGTGAAGCAGAAGCCAACGAGACAGAGACCAGTATGGAAGAAGATACGTTCCGTAAAATTAAGAGACCTTTGTTGAATTTTAATTTTGTGTTTGTAAATTCTGTACATTTAATTAAATTATTGTTAATTATCTATTGGTTTAATTTAAGTGGCTATTGTTCTGGACGAACAGTACTAAGGAAGAAGTAGTGTTACGACAGCGGAAGTCACGTGACCCTGGTAACACGTAATGAGTCTCTAGAAGGATCGGGGGAAATCACGAATAATCCGGTATTTGCTAGACACCCTCTATTTCTGTATATAAGCAGGTAAATAAAGCAAGATAATTAACTGAATTGCAGACAGGCAGAGATAGAGGCGGACAACTGAGTCAAGCGCGGTAGTGACCGTAAGTAAAGTGCGTGAATCGTTGTGAATTATAGCGTGTGTTTAAGATAAAGTGACTGTGGAAATTAAGTATATTGCAAAGTTGTATTGAGAAAGAATAAACCAGTTTTATTTAAGAAAGGACTTGTATCGGTAGAGTTTCATCCGAAAGAATTTCTGCGGAAAATTAACCAACGACCAGAGACGTAACAATAGAAAGGTCAACCAGCATTTCTTGTGTCATCTTAATTAGTTTCAACTTAGAAAAATACGTTCGCCACTAGCTACAGTAACAGGTACTGTCAATAAAACTCTCAAAACAATTGAAATATTTGGCATGATGTCAATGAAACGTTTTTGACAAATATATCGCAAGGCATCAAGTGCCGTTCCCTATTGATAAGGGATTATATGTGATAACGTTTGAAGCTCAGTATATAGGCTTAACCCGTCAATGTCATTTTCAGATTATTCTTGTTGCTCGGAAAGTAATAGTTCTAAGTCTTTTCACCGTTTAAGCAAATCGCCGTTAGATGTGTTTTTGAGTTTGAAATATCGTACATAAACCCAAAGTTTTCGTGGAAAATTTTTAATTGTCGAAATCGTTCTTGTAATGACATTATTGCTTGATCAAGCAAAGAATAAAAAAACAAGCAAAATTTTTCCTCAGAATCATTTATTAACTCGTCTTCAGCTTCATATGTAAGTTGTTTCTTTTTTTTTTTTCGTCGTCGAACAGATGATTCCACTCGAAAAACAGTTTCTTCTGGATGCATTTCAAGTTCATTTTCAATTTCCTTTGGTATTATTTTCGAACTTTTCAAGACACTTTCTCTGAACTGGATTAGAAAACTTTCTGTATTCTGTAAAAATGTTAATGCTTGATGTAACTGCTATTTTTGCTTTGCATCATCTTGCTATCAGCATCAATTTGCACCATAATATCATACCAAATCACTAACACCACTAAAAACTTAAAAGTTTTCATTTCTTTAGCTAATGAAAGTGCTTCTGAACGGCATTTTAGGTCATTTGTTGTTTCTGGAACATCAATTAAGGCATCATACACGTCATCTAAATGACACCAAATTGTTTTAACACTATCAATTCTGGCAAAGGTTTTACTGTCAAATTTGTCACATGTTTCTTAAAAATATTTGTGTAGATCCAGAAAAAAACATAAATTTGTTGCAAAATTCCAAAAGACGATTTAGCAGCAACAAATGACTTCGCCATGTCACCGAGTGCTAAATTTAAACTGTGGCATCCACAGGGCATAAAGAAAGTTTGCTGATTAGTTGAGCTTGTACACCCTTCTTAAAACTTTTAAGAAACAACTTACCATTTGTGTACAGTTTGTATAATAACGACCAATCGGACGTAGTGCATTTATATAACGTTTTTAACATGTTAAGTTATCAAACTTTGTGATATAGGCCATCTGGAAGACATGAAGTTTCGATATCTTTCCAGTTTACAGTTTTAATTTTATAAGTCATTATTTCTACATTATCATTTGCTTTATAACGGTAAATAAAAAAGTATTGACTATTTAATTAGGTCCATATAAGGATTTGTCAGTAAAACAAACAAACACCAAAGTCGAATACGATTGACAAATTTTCATTCTTGCAAACATGAAATGAATTTGAAATATATTTGGATGTTCATGTACAGGTAATTTACGTACAATAAAAGTAACCACAGAAATAACTGTGTGATTTGAAATTTATTTACAAAAATAAAGTCAAATGAAATAATATACCATTTCAAAATATTAAGAAACTTGCAATACGTTGGTGAAAATTGTCTGAATTAATTATAATCATCAAAAGGATAAAACGAAAAAAACCCAAAACACATTCGACACTTAATTCTAAAATGATCAAACTGAACAGTAAAACAAAAGCATTTGTCTGTTTGTTTGAATTTAAGCACAAAGCTACACAATGGTCTATCTGTGCGCTGCCCACCACGGGTATCGAAACCCGGATTCTAGCGTTGTAAGTCCGCAGATATACCGCTATGCCACTGGGGGGCAAAACAAAAGAGAAAAACGAGTAAGTTTAGCGTTTGCAGATAAGAACACTACAATAGACATGTGTAGTCAATATCTAACTAATTTAAAGATTATAGTGTGTGCGTGCGTGGAAAGCTTTTTGAACTTCATTAGACTATGCAAACTTAAGTTAGGAGTAGGCATAGGCGGTCTTACCTATTGGGCAAACATGGGAATTTCCCGGGGTCCCACACATGGAAGGGCTCCTGATGCTATGCCTTTTAATCTACTTCTGAGTTTTCTTATCATTATGGAGCCCTATTTCCTGAATTCACCCTGGGGACCCAGAGTGACAAAGACCACCCCTGCGAGTAGGGAGGAGCAGACGACGTCATCAAAGGCGTAATGGAAGGGTGGGTGTAGTTAGTTCTATGCATTGCAAAAGGAAAGCTATTTGGTGAATGGATCTTTCATCCCTCAGAACCTTATCTCAGACATCAGTGTTTACGTGTTAAGGATCTTTGTACGAATTTCTTCATCTGTTTACAGACACTTAAAGTACCTGTTCAGTTTTAATACTTGCCCCCGATACACATATTTTGAAAGCGTCGCTAGATCTGTTGTCTCTTACTAGATAAGTCGATTGGTTTGTAATTTTTGACCAGACCAATCGGTTCAAAGTGTCTTTTGTACTGGTACCATATTGTTGCGTATCTGCTTGTTTCTTAATTGCCGGTAGAAATTCTTTCCGAGAAACTTCAGTTATACAAGTCCTTTCTTGGTTAAACCAGTTTATTCTTCCTTGATACAAACTTTTAGCACACAGTAAATTCACAATCTTGATAACAAAACCCACACTAGCTCGAAACAGAATCGTAAATAACCCGGAACTCTCTGCATTCAATCATCCCGCATGCTTTCTCTGCCAGACTTATATACTAAAAAAAAAAGGGCGTCTCAAACGCACTAGGAAATTCATGATCATTCGAGAAATTTCACGTACGCTACCAGCGCCAAACGCGCCAGCAGTGTCACGTGACTTTCGCTGTCGTAACAATATATTGTGGAGTAGGTTCCAATTAGTTTTAATCTCACAGTCACTGAGACGCCCAGCACAACCTTTTGATTGTTCAGAACTTTTCGTTCCTAACCTCATATGTGTGTAATCTAGGCAGGTTACTTAACTGTTTTAATTATTTTAAATACACAACATTGCTTTCACATTTTATAAACTTTGTGCATTCAAATATAAAATACCACAATAAAAAATCCTTTGTACGCGAAGCATTTTCTCCTAGTAACACATTATAATGTCAGAAATACAACAGACTAGCAGATGCCCTTTGAAACAATTAAGCGGTAATTTTCCTAAAAATAGTGATGAATAAATATAAAATGTGCAGTCAACACAATTTCTTGACAAAGAGCATATATACAATATGATTGTCTAATACGCCGTTTACAACCGTATTTTGTTATTCTATCTGTTATTTCAATAAGGAAAATTGCATCGCGTTTGTTTTTAAGCAAAAAAGACTGACTACAATGCATTGTTGGCAAAAACTTTTGAGTTTCAATACAATGGATACATCCAGCACAATAGAGTACTCAGGTTCGTTAAGTAGTGCCAGAGATTTTTTCCACTGGATGCCACCGTTCCTTGTCATTTTACTGAGCGCAAGAAAAGACCGCTATCTAAATTAACACTCTTAACAGTTGTCAGTTCTATAAGAAGTGTCAAACAGGAGATATTCAATTCAATTCAAATCAGTATTGTACCATTCGACATGGTACAATAAAATCATGCATGTATATAATATCGACATGAAAAAATAATATATATATATGTATAACAAATATATAGTCAAACATGTTTCTCTCTTTGTGTGTTTTTTCCGTTCATATTTCTATCTTCGACATATTTCTTTCAATCAATCGACGCAGGAAGTCTCGTTTTTTCTTGAAATACCTTCACAGAAGATACATTTTTGCTATTAATAAGATTCTTTCTGAGACCGACCATTCAGGAAAATTGGCGGATTGATGCTGATATCTATACAAAATTTTGGGAATTGCAAAAAATGAATAATTTTTCCTGGAATATACTCTTGAAAACAAGCATTTTGATATAAACACTTTTTTTTATCTGCGATTAACCGTTCAGGAGATACAGAGCATGACAGACAGACATTTGGCTATTATATATATAGGCAATACTGATTGACAGGTCAGTTTCATTTAGTAAGAATATGTAAAAAAAAAGGATGTTTAACATCACAAGTAAGAAAATCAATAGCATCTGCCACTGAGGACTAAGCGTTTGGCAAGCAACAAAGACATTCATTTCCTTCTTAATCCAATGTATAAGCCTGAGACCTAATACATTACTCAAACTGAGTTCCTCTTATTCTTGGATCTTACAAAGGTTTCATGTACCTCCATGCACTTTTTCACCTTTGCCTTGTGAAACCCATTAAATGTGAGAGAGAATTTCTACATATAACATGTACCTAACATGCCATACATATTATACTCTTCCTGACGATGAAGAAACGATTTCCCAATACTTCTCAAAAAATTTCCAAGCCTACAGCCTAAGTTTCTCAGTGTAAGGGTTTTATATATGAGTGGGTTGGGATTCTTCTACAGTAGGTGTCTGTGACTTATTGGCGATAAATTTGAACAATAAACAGACAGCACACAATCCACTTGTTTTAGAATAATATATACTTAAAACAAGTCAAATGTATGTACAAATATTTTTTACACTGTAGAAGTTCACAGTTTTATATAAAACTCCAAGTAATTCTTTTTTCTTGTCAAAAGTCTACACAGGCTAATTGAATTACTTTAGAATCCAATTGACAAGACGAATTATTTTTCTCTACTCTTATCACCCCATGGATTACCACAGTTGTATCCTGAACTTTAAATAATTGTCTCCTTTTCATCAAAATTCACACAAGTGTGTTCAGTTACTTTAGAA